ATCTCATAATATTTGTATTAGTGAATGTATACAAGTTATTCAGCTGGCTGAACCACTTTCCATGGAGTTCCAGAGAATGCATGAGGAAATTCGCAGATCCTGAAAGGGAAGAGTATGACATGGTTCAGTTTACGGATGAGGAGTCATATGGGAGGTATTCTATTGAGCAGAGAATTTAGGACTTTCGACGCCACTGATTTTTTTTTGTTAATAGTTATCTTACTCGTCTATTTCAGGTTTCTGGATATGCATGAGATACACGCTTTATATCTAAATTTGAAAAATGTTAAGGTAAGCACTCTCAATGAGTCATTTTTTTAATCTTATCTATCTGCCATTTCGCTTGGCTCCAAGCGGTGTTCAAGGACTCTTTCCTTTCTTATGTTTTTTGTTTATGTTTTGATGTTCTAATTCGGTGTATTTTCCTTGTTGTTCATAATTTACTTTTTTGAATGTTTTTTTACGATGAGATGCTAGGGTTGTAATAGTTGAATAGTGACAATCATCTTCGTAGGTTATGAAAGTTATGATAATGAGGCATTTCAGTGCTTTCTATTCTACAATCCATATTTTCCCTCGTTTCAGAAACTTGATTACATCACATATCTCGCCCAGTTCGATAAGTTCACAGAAATTCCAAGGAATACGACGAAGAAAACTGGAGCTTATAAAGGAATATTTGAACACCCTCAGGTCATGAATTCCTTTTTTTCGGCGCCAATATCATAAAAAAAAGGAAGAAGTGCAAGGAATAAGGGCACGTCCTGCCGTTGGAGGGGAATTTTGAAATAAGACCCTCAATGTTTTCTCCTTTGGTACGACCCCTTACTTCATTCTAGCTACCATCTTCCTGAATTTTCCCAGTTACTGCCACTTCCTCGAAGTGTTTGTTCCGAGAATTTCCCAGTTTCTCCCCGGGGAAACTGTCGTCTGGCTGGAGATTCTCGAGGTACGACGTACTCCCGATAGGAAATATTGATGCCATACCCAGCTACTTTCAAGAGCTTTAACTCAAGGAGATTTAGCATTTTTGTTCCGTTCGCGTATTTTGTCGCTATCAAAAGTTTGTATAGCATATTCGTCATTTTATTCAATTTTCATTCAAGGAATACCTCGTTTACTTTATGGAACGCACCCGACCTCTTCACAATCTCAAGGAGGACTTTGCCAAGGTTCGGTTCATAATTGGATGAAGGGAAAAGCTGTTTCAAACTATTTTCTGTCATTTCTTAACAACACTTTAAAGAGTGACGCCGAGGTCGATCGCATGCTCGCAGAGGGAACGTTGCCGGGATGGCCAAAACAAAATGCACCCAAAGAGGTTCCTATTTCCAAGCTTGATGTGGTGATTTATGCGTCAAATATAATATTCTAGGCTGCTATCGACGTATCTGCCTATAGCAGTCCATTGGAATTGGAAAGTTTAGGCCTTGACAGACTGAAAGCCGCTTTGATGGCTTTGGGCTTGAAATGTGGAGGGTACAGTTTTTTTTCAATTCTTCAATCTTTTCAATCTTGGTTTCATGAATGAATGATGATGAATTTATACTAAAGGCAGTGCGATAAATCTGAATTATCTACTATTTTTAGAACACTCAAAGAGCGTGCTGAGCGTCTATATGCATCGAAAGGATTGAGAGCTGGTGATTTAGGGAGAGACGCTTTGGCGAAGAAGACAGATGAAGCCAAGGAGCAGGCACGGACAGCGGCATTGGCGAAGACTCGAAGGTCACATCAAGTGGTTGGTTCTTTGGACTCATTTCGAATTAATTTGTAGCAGGAGATTAGGTTTTCGTGTGTGGGTCATTAAGGGCATACGATATATCGACAAGGGGTGAATGGTGAATATGCCCAGCACGAAATATTAGGCGCTGCGTGGTACCTTCCCAACCAAACACGCCGTTGGCGTCTAACCGACGTGTAAAATGCCGTCGGAGACTCCCATCGCAACGTCCGCCCACAAGTTGCCGCACAGCCACATCGATGCTCATACTCTTGCGGCTTCATTTACCGAGTCATTTGCTATGAAACGGCTCCAAGGCTGCATGGATATATGATTACAG